CCCCCCCCTCCTCAGGCCAGTGGGTATGCCGCGTATGGAGAAGGTCATAGTTCAAAACAATGATCCAAAACATAGCCTGCATCTTTTATCCATATCTGGGAGTACAGTTCATTTTCATTGCTCATTTTTTCAAGACAAAGTGAGTATGGTTTGTTTGAGGTGATTTTTTTGTTTGTTGTATGTGTGGATTTGTCTTGGGAAGAATGATAGACAGCTTTAGAGCCTGAAAAGAAATACAGCAAAACTTCGAGAAATCAAACTCCCTTCAGACTGAAAATTTTAAAATATCTTCTCCCCGGTACGTTTTAACCAAATAGATTTTTTTAAAAAGCTATTTACGTTATACTGAGGTTTTATAGTTTATTGTCAGCCATTTGTTCAGATGCACTAAGCCTTAAATTTTGAAAAATAAATGTTATTGCAGAGTCCTAATCCTGTGTTTCACAAATTTTTTGTCTCTCCCAAATTCAAATTCTAAATGTTTAATAAAAGCAAGAAAATATTCATTATATTGGATCGGTTTTTAAAAGATTGAAACAAAGAAATAAGTTACATGATGAAATAACTTATTAGAAGTACAGTATCTTTCAAAAAACAAGTTTAGCTATCACTTAATATAAGTGATAGCTTAACTTGTTTTGTTTTTTTAAAGTTTGTTTTTTGAAAGATAGTGTACTTATTGATTCACACGTGTCATGTGTCTCATTATTTTAATCCATTATGGGAACTGTGGCTCATAGAGGTGTCACTGTCAAAGCTTTGAAAGATTCATTTTTGTCTGTGACACCGTTTGCCTATAGGGGTTATAGAAACATGGAGGGGGAGGGAGATATAATTGGTTGTTGTCTATGTTTTATGACGCAGTTTACTACAGGATCTTTCTTAAATCTTTGTTCATTTTCTGGTTGTGTTGAAATCAACAGTTTTGGTCTAGGAACTCGTTTATTTTTACCAAGCTTTTCTTCCTATCTTCTCAAGTTTATTTGGTGTAAAGGTTAGGGCCTTCAGCACAGTATGTATAAAAAATGAGCAGGCTTCCAAAAAAGTTAATATGAAGTTATACAGACGTTTATAGGAATAGACAACTTAACTATAAGCCGTTTTTTATCACAATGTACATGTATTTACATTTGCAGATTATTTATAGAAGTCTATATGTTCCTTTTGAACTTTTGAGATCAATATTAGATACAAACCTGTTATACTGTGAATACATTTGTTTGTTGTTGTTTTTTTCTCAGATTGTCCCACCTGGGGGAAACACCAGTTTTGATGTGGTTTTTCTGGCCCGCCAGGTGGGCAATGTGGAAAACACATTATTCATTCATACCTCCATAGGGTCCATACGATATCAGGTGAGTGATTCCATGCTGGCATTGTTAGCTGGGAGAGATTGTGCAGAAACTGATACGAGGCAGATGAACAGAATCTGGATATGGGAAATAAATGTGTCAGTTTTCAGTTTGATTTTGAGATAGGGGTTTGCCTAAAGGGAAGTTGTTGTTTTTCTAAGTATCGATAACAACCACATTTCATTAGTGGATGTTTGTCGGATTGGGTTGGACAGGGAGAAAGGGATTTTTTTTTTCACCCCTTTTGTGGGTGAGGGGTGGGGAGGAGGATGCCTATGTCTCTTGTCTTGCTGTCATTAAATTTACTTGTTACAGAGAGAGAGAAAATTACTGTTTAAAACATTATGTTATGTTATATTATGTACAGAGAGTGTGGTCAGTGTATGTTCCAAGAAGATTGAAGTTGCTGTCTTGGGTTAATAAGACATCTTTTGTTTGCATTATTGGAGACACTTTTTTCAATCTTATGTTTTGTAATATAGGTCTTAACTGATTTTAAAATTTTATCAGCTTTCAGCTCCATCCTGTAAATGTGACCCATCTTTCACATGTTGATAGCTGTAGATATGTAAAATACTTTGACATCATGTGTTCACCTGTCAGTTTCTCTCTTCTCATTTTGTTCCTTGATTTGATATTGAGTCATGTGACCTTTGTTGAAAACGTTCCTCCTTATTTTCCTTCTCTTTTTTATTTAACATGGTTCAGATTCTTGAGGTGGTTTTTTGTGGGGGGTTTTTTTTTAATTTTTTTTTAGGGGGGGGGGGCATCTCCCTTATTATTTTATATTGTGGGGATGTTGGAGCTTTTCCTTGTTTGTGGTTAGAAGATATCAGTGGTAGCCTCTACATCTTTACTGTTCCCCTGTTTTTTCTGGCGGGTCGTTGTAGGGTGCTCATGTGTTGTTTGCTTCTCTTTTTCTATCAAACATCTTTTGTCCTTATCTCTCTTCCTTCTTTTCTTTGTATGTTATTCTTTAGTAACGCCTGTAGTCTCTGGCATTTTTATCATAGGTGACCTATTTGTGTTGTTATTGCTGGGAAACTCTTACTTAAACATAACTGACTATTTTATCTGTTAGTCTGTCTGTTCTTTTTACTCTGGCTCCAAATGCCAATATTATAAAGTGGATGTTCTTCTCTGTGCACTTACAAAAGTAAAATGTAAAGGAATTGTTCCCCTGGAGGATCTTCCTTGCTTTTCACTCTTTAATGAGATTATATTTTTTCTTTCTTTCATTTTTTTCTGTTAACTGATAAGCTCTTCCATTCTTTTTTGGGGAATGAGGTTTCTTTTATAGTCCTCATGTAAGTGATATGTGCAGCCTTGCACATTCACAGGCCCCTTCAGAAAGCATGGGTCATGTTCTCAAGTGTCAGATTGTTTACACTTCAGTTTGGATTACAGCTGACGTGGAGTGCATTACACATGCTTCCCCCCCCTCTCCCTGAGACTGAGATTTCTTTGTATTCTTTTTTTAATAATATCTGTTCTAAAGGTACTGAACTCTTATTTAATAAATGGGCAAAAGAAACAGTTGTTTTTGCCAGCACTCACCACTGATCACACAAATCAATGATTGTTTACTGGGTATATGGAGGGCGCTTCTGGTAGTTTCTTTTCTTTCCCCATGTTATTTCTGTCGGTCTGTTTGTCTGTCTTACTTTTCCCTCCACTAAATGACCATTATTGTGTTGATGTGCATCCCTTTACTCAAGTAAGTGAGCAGTATTTGTGTAAGAGCATTCTGTGAAAGGAGTATTGAAATTTTTGTTCCTTGAACTATTGAGTATTTATTTTACCATGGAATAAGTCTCAAAAATAGAATTTTAATTACCCCACCTTTAGAATTTAGGAGTTTCCAATAGTAAAAGTACAATGTTTTGTATTTTACATTTTTGTCTTCTTTCTGTCTTGTCATTAGGTTTTTGGGGTTGGCATCCCGAATCCGTATCGTTTGCGACCCTACCTGGGTGCACGGGTGCCCATCAATAGCAGCTTTACACCCGTCATACAGATGCATAATCCATACAGCACCAGCCTACAGGTTAGTCAAGTTTTGTTTTTGTGTTTGGTCAAAGCAGTCCTGAAGAGTGGGTTGTTAGTGGGTGCTCTGGTGTGGTTTACTCCTTCTTTCCTATTACACATCTTTCATCCTTACCTCTCCTCCTTTTTTGTGTATGCTACACTCTTGTAACACATCTATTCTTCGGCACTTATAAGACCTTATTTTGTTGCTAGTGACATGGAACTTTTACTGAAACTTAAAAGTCTGACAGTTAACTGCAGTTTCTTACAATATTTGATTCTACATAAAGGTTTTGAACATCTTGCTCTCATTTCAAGACTAGAAGACGAAAGAGACAGAAGTTGACAAAGAATATCCTACTAAAAAATATCTTACTAAAAGAACTTGAGTCGAAGGGTTACAGGAAAAAAAATAGGATAATGTAGGGGTTTTTTTTAGAGCGTCTGAGTAGAGACTTGAGTCGCAAACCATGATCGCTAATGTTTGTTTCCGATTATTGAAGGAGAGGAAGGTCACAACTTGGACACTAGATGACTACTGATAGCATCATGATAAATCTTTCTACTTATGGAGCTAAGGCCAAATTTTGCGAACAGTATATTCTCAGAAACTACCGAATGAAAAAATATGAAACTGCCAGTGCCTATAACTTGAAATGTAGTGTTGCTCTATTGTATTTTCATTAAGATCAAATGTGTAAGAAGAAAGCCCATTTTAAGTTAAATTCAGTCCTTTTGTAGTGATCGCCATCTTTTGCTTCGACATTGTATATTCACTGCGGAGTGCCGACTGCCCCAAAGGATATTTTGTGTTCAGTTACATTAAGTAGGTTTACAGGAATTCCCGGTTTCGAGAAGAAGGAGGAGGAGGAGGAGGAACAGCAGAAGGAGGAGAAGGAGAAGAGGAAGAAGACGAAGAAGAAGAGGAAGAAGGAGGAGGAGCAGGAAGAATTAGAGGAAGAGGAGGGGGAGAACAAGAAGGTATTGAAAGTAGATTTCTCCTCCAGTGGAATTAGCGCGCACGCCGAAGGATGAGTGTATTTTGTGCACAATGTCTTGATGAGATCTAGAATCTAGATCGAAATCGAAATCAAGAAGAATCATGAAATGAAAGTAGAATCTAGATCTGTGATATTTCAATAACCTATTGAATATTGAAAGTGGATTTTTCTTGCTGTGCATTATAGATTCTAAGATCTAGAACTAGGCTAGATTTAAATGTGAATCTTAGATCGAGATCAAGAATGATGAAAGTATTGAACATGGATTTTTTCCTGCTGTGAATAGATCTAGAGTCTAGAACTAGGCTGTCGGTGAATCGAGATCGTGATCAAGAATCCTGAAAGTATTCTTGAAAGTGGATTTTTCCTGCTGTGAATAGATCTAGAAATCTAGGCCATCTATGACGCCTGTCGGTTGTTAAAAATGTGAATTTCTAAACTTAAATCTGTCTATGGGCCTAGGCTCCTTCTTTCAATTATTGGCCTATGTCTTTATAGTCCTACGATATCTAGGCTAGATCTAGAATCTAGATTAGGTTCTTCTAGGAAGCAACAATTGGCATGTAGGCCTAAATCTTTTTTTAAAAAGTGATTGAGCTAGAACTTTAGGCTAAAATGCCACGCCTTCAAAGAGGGGGAAGAAGTCTTACCCCTAGAGGTAGTCAAGAGGGGGTGCTACATGGATAAATTCAAAGAAAAATATTTATGTTTTGTTTCTTTCCTGTTTTTAAGTCTTTTCCCTCTTCTTAACTTTCCTAATACTTCTTCATTATTATTCTGTTCGTAGAATGGGTACTTTTACTAGATCTAGTACTCTTAATAAGAGCTGCTACTGTTCCAGTCAAAGGTTCATAACTGGGAGATAAAATGTTTTGGCGACTGCCTCCTTATAAAAAAGAATAGATATAGAGCAAATAAGAACATAACTTATGGTGACTTTTCAGCTATAAAAGTAAAGAATTAAGTTTTGCTGAAGGTATGTACAGATGGAAGCTATTTACAAATGTTCCTTTGCTTTTTACTTTCATGCCTGGAGCAACCCACTAATGATACAATTGGGGTGCAGATATTTTTTTTTAAAGTTCTCTGTATATTTTTTATCTGTGTCACTGTTACTGTGTGAACTGGTCGGTTGTATTGTAAATTGTACTTTGTTTCTTGTCTCAGGTGCTGGAGATGTTTGCGAGTGAGGGAGATTTACACTTGGAGCTGCCATCTGGTGAGAGAGAGGCTTCACAAGAGTTATGGGTGAGTTTGAAGCCATTGGTGTCTTGAGTAGTGTCTGTAATTTGAGGCCATGCTTACATTGTTGACTGGAAAACAAATTGTTTTTCAAAAATGTTCTGTCGAATCCTTTATTTTGAGCTATGTCATTTGATCGGCTATATCTCAAATTGTGTGTTGTGTCCTGAATGTTTGTAAATGTTTTGAGCATATGCACATGGTGTTTGAGTGGACATTATTATTCATTATATTAAATTTTCATGGCTTCTCTTCCTTGTAACTGTGGGTAGTTGGGGGGTGCTCTGGTGTGGTTTGCTTCTTCTTTTCTATCAAACACCTATCACCTTTATCTCCCCTCCTTCTTTTTTGTGTTTGTTACTCCCTTGTAACACCTCTAATCTTCAGCGCTTATATGACCCTATTGTGCTGCAAGTGCCGTAAAACTCTTACTTAAACTAAACTTCCTTGTAACTATCATGTTTTCTTTGTATGCATATAGTTGATTTACCCTCCTTGTTGTGGCTGCTTGGGAGGCACTCACTACTTAAATGTGCGAGTGGTTAAAGGGCACTATTGGTAGGTCCTTGTTTTCTCTCCTTCTGTTGTTTCTGTCTTTCTTCTTACAATCTTACTTTTTCCCAGCAGTAAATGACCATTGCTGAGTCGATGTGCTTTTCTTTACTCCAGATAAACTGTGGGTTTTTTTTTCTGTTTTTGTCCATCCATCTTACTTTTTTTCTTGCCATGCTTCCCCTTATTCAATTGAAGAAGCCACTGGTGTAAGTCCCACTCTTTTTCCCCCTTTTGATTATGAACATAATTATCAGTTTTTCTGTCTTTTCCAAGCTTGAAATGTCATTGCTCAAACTAATCCCTTTTCATTTCTTTTCCCTTTTATGACAGGAGTTAAAGCCATTTGAGACCAAGGCTGTCATGAAAGCCAGTTTTGTGGCCAGGGTAGAGAGCAACCATTCTGCCTTTATCCGTATCAAGACCAACAAAGAGGAGCAGAGGGATGGGGCATCGGAACTTCTCATTCTTCCGTTTGAAATTGAAGTTTCGTCAGGTGGGTGCCTGCACTTGTTGACTTGAACTGTGCGATGTTAAATTTGTTTTGTGTTGCTTTATTTCAGTGTGAGCTGCTGGAAACAACATTTACAGTTGTTAATTCTATTATGTGAGAAAACATTTTTCTTAGATGCTTTGAATTTGAACTTTTCATATTTTTGGCTTAGCCATGGTGGAAAATAATATGGAATGTTCTATACAGACACAAAATTCCCCAAATAATTTTTTAGAAAGTCGTATCCCAGTATTTTTTTGGAATTCTGTAACAATACTGACTTGTCCCGTTTGTCAAAGTTCTTTGTTGTATACTGTTGGCAAGCTCTTCAGTTCTTTTAAGTCCTGGAAGCAAAATTTTGTAGGGAAGAAGAAAAAAAACAGTTTAATTCTTTTAACAATATTATACTGACAGTGTGTATCTTTTCTTGCTTCCTGCTATTTCAGCATGTAGGATTTGAATTTTGACAAAATATTTCCAGAACATGTGCAATTGGTACCGCAGATTAAGAAACTGCAGTAAAAGAAAAATTTAACATTTTGGGCTTAGTACCTCTGGACAGTTCGCTGACATTATACGATTATTTTTATGTAAGGAAAATGTTTATGAGCATTTGTGTATCATGTTCATTGTAGATGAAGCTGAATGCTTTGTATTCTTGTTCTTTAGATCCAGGCATATACTCTCCTGTGGAACTGTTAGATTTTGGCATCTTACGCACCCTGGATGAACCAAAAACTTTACGCCTCAATCTCATCAACACAGGGCCAAAAGCAATCCACATAACAGTGAGTTCTTCTAATGATTTGTATTATGTTGATGTGTTGTGAAGTTTGCCTTTTTTTGTCCCACCATAAAAAAACATTTAAAAAAGTAATAATAATAAAAAATTTGATAAATTTGATAGAGGAAGTTTGAGCAAATACAGTTTGTAGCGAGAATATTTCTTACCTCTGAGGAATTAGTATAGTTCTGTCCTGTGTCACTGCTGGATGGGTATTTCCATTGCTGAGTTGTTTGTGCTCCCAGGAAAGTTGAATTAGTGAACGGTTGTGTCCTGCTGAGAGACCCACAATGTCAGCCCTGCTTAATTGTTGTGAGACATTATTTTTTCCATCCATCCCTTTTGGTGTGTTAAGTGGATGAAAAGAATAATGTGGGTGGTTAGCAGGTGCTCTGGTGTAATTTGCTCTTTTTTTGTCCTATCAAACATCTATTATCCTTATCTCTCTTTCTTTTATTTTTATGTTACTATCACTTTCTAGTAACACCTCTAATCTTCTGAACTTATATGGTCTATTTGTGTTGCATGTACCGTTAAACTTTTTTTTTTTAAGTGGAAGATTTGTGTGTCCATTTTTATAGTTTGTTTTTTTTGCTTTTTTTTTTTTTTTTTTTTGGCCACTGAAATATGGAAATTATTTGTTATTTGTGAGAGTACTCAGAGGACAATTCTGATAGGGTCTTCTTTTTATGCCCACTCTTGTTTCCGTCTCTTTTGTCTTGCTCTTTCCCAACACTATATGACTGTAATCATGTCAGGTGTTCTTCTCCTTCCTGAAACTAACCTACACGTAGTCAATATTTCCGTATTTCTCAGTCCCTATAAGCTTTTTTGTTTCATCTTCCCTGCCCAGAGTGTAAATGTTTCTCCTCCAAACAACGCTGTGAGTGTGGATTTCCGTCCATTCAAATTGCAGCCAGATGGTAGTAGGCCCACCACAGTAGCCCACATCACATTCAGAGGTGAGTCTTAGCACATACTGTTTGGTCAAAGTCAATTTTAATAAAATTGAAAGCAGAAGTCGGGTTAAGGCGACATTGTAATAGAGTTAATTTATGATGAACAAGGGTAGTGTTTGTGCTTGTTTAATGTAAATGTAAAATGTTATTTGAAAATGTTTCACTTGGTATTTTTATGTTTGCATATCGTCCCGTTGAAGAAAAAAAGGAGGCGATGAATGTGACAAAAAGTTTTGACGTCTTCAGAAATATTTTTATTGAGGCTGTGTTTGTCACGATGTTAAAAGATAATGGAGGGCTCTTCTTTACTATATCTATACATCTTTTTACTGCAAAACTTTTATTCCCAGAATGACAAATCAAATTAATTCTCTTTTGTTTGTTTATTTTCTTCACAGCGGTGAAAGCTTTACAGTCAAAACAGTGGTCAGGAAAAATAGTGATAAAAACAAAAAATAACATTCAGAGATTGGTCATTCCATACCAAGCCAATGTTCTTCATGGGTGAGTATAAAACTGAAATGTTTTTGAAAATATTTGGTGTCAGGTCTCCCCCTTGCAAAGTTCCCTTTCAGATGTAATATTTCCCTTGTCTTTGCAAAATTGTAAGCAAAGCTGATAAAAAAAAAAAACTCTTTATGTCCCTGCTTTCCCCTCTAGGGAAACGTACTGGAATTATCACCGAACACAATGAAATTGTGAAATACAAGAAAAAAAGCAATAATTTTGACTGTTCTCTATGGTAAGGGGAACTCGCAGGGTAATTTTTGTCCAGCCTTGTTTGAAAGTTTTCTCTTGTTGATTGTCATTACAAAGGTTGTTTAAAAAAGATATTTTGGTACCGGTAAACCTAGACCATCTGTTGAGAATCACATGTGGTTTGCCGCAACATTTAGTAGAAAGGACCCTTTTAACTTATTTTAAGAATTGGGGTCAAAACTTTACTGTTACCATATATTTTTTGTGTGGAGGAGAATGCATGATAGCCACGTATCCAGTGGAATGTTTTTTAAAACTGCTCTTCTGCTTCCTTTTTTTCCTCCAGGTCACTGGTATACAATGTGAACACCACACACTTTTTCAGCGCCAAAGCTTTGTGGAATGTGACTCGACCCATGGCATTCACCAACACCTTTAATTTCTCCGTGGTCATCTACAATGTCAGCTTACCGTCAGAGGTCTCCTCGTACTTTACTGTAAGTTGCCCCCCTTTTTTCAGAATACATTTGGAATTGTTCATGACGGCCGCCCATTGTCATGGAGAAAAGTGATTGTCTTAGGTGGAAGTCTCGGATAGTGTCCCTACAATATATTTTTACAAATGCGAAAGAGGTGGAATAAGAAGTGGTCCTATGTACTGTTGATTGTCTTGGACAGGTAGCCGTTACAGCAGATGCGACCGTTTTAAAAATATTTTGCGCTCCCCCAGTTAGAAACAATTTTGGTAATTTTCAGGAGGGGGCTCATAGTCCCCGAATTGAACAAAACATTCAAGAAAGAATTTGAAAATATTACTATTGCATAAATCTGAAATATGACCACTATTGTGCTGATTCATACTAAATGCTGCCACAACATGGTAGCCAACTGAGACGAAATCTTATGAAAAATTCCGAAAAGGTTGTGTTAAAAGCATCAACAGTCAATTATTAATGATAAGCTGAAATCAGATAATCAGGAGGTGTTCTCTGATTCACATGACATTTCCCACTGGGACAATTAATAGTAAATAATTAATAAGTAGCATTTGTAAAGCGCCCATTCCGACCCAACCGCAAGCTCCGTGCACTTTGCAATCTAACTTAAGTATTATTCTCTTATCTAATTTCTTATTTCCGTACTTGTTTTGTCTGTACAGATCGTGAACTTTAGCAAGCCTGTGATACTGCAGCCCCAGCAGAGCCTGGCTGCCTTCCTGCTCAAGTTCCACCCAAACCTCACACAGATCCACTTCAGCACGGTGCTCACAGTGAGCACCAATGCCTCCACCTTCAGCATTCCCATCATAGTTTACAACGGCCTCATGAAAGTAAGAGGCGATTGCTTAGAAAATTAAAAGATTACTAGAGATTACAGATATTTTGTATGTAATTCATGAATTTTCCTGATTTTGATAAATGTTTCTTGTCTGGTTATTTTCTTTGGATTTTTTTTTGGGGGGGGAGGGATATGGTCAATGTATTTTGATTGTGCCTGGCACAAAGTTTAAATGGTCACTTCTAGATATCAGTGATTCTTCCTCCGATGTGCATATATGGTTAATAGAGAAGGAAAATCAATGCTTTAGAAGAACTTTTGTATTGCAGCCAACTGAAGAAAAGTGACAGAGAGGCTGTTCTGTCTCACACGAGTTGTCTCTTGTCTTTTGGTTGTAGTTTACAAGTATTTTAAGGGCGCATAGGTATTACAATGCTCATCAACTACAGTAAATGTGTTGATGTATTTCTTTTTATTTGACCTAAATCTTATTGGTATTTCATAATCTATTTGAATTAAGGTTATACACCATCGACCAGAAAAGTTTGAAGGCCAGTTGGATTTTGGTACACTAGGTGTCGGGGAGACCAGAAGCATGATATTCACCATCCGCAATGATAATCCAGTGGATGTGAGTAGCACTTTCTTTATTGTTATCATATTTATATCTATATAACTCTACATAGTAATTATTTATTTTCATTGTGACAGGCCTCAGTGTTTGGTTTCTGGATCTTGTAGACCTCTTTCTTAGTTTGGTTGATCTAGAAAAGTATTTTGCTTTGATTAATTTGCATGTGCTTTATGAGATTATTGCTTTGTTTAAATTGTACAGAATTAATTGTTTGATGATGACTTTCTGACTGACTTAAATTGTAGTCTTTTGTCTTTTTAAATTCTTTTTAAGAATTACTTTTTTGCTTGCCGTAACTCAGTATGGTGGAGAGCATGGGGATGGAGAAAATTTTTTATGACCTTTTGCTGATGTTGTTTGTGACAATGTTTGTTATACTTTTCCTCGTGTATTTGATTTTTTTCCCCCCACAATAATTTTCTGATGAGTGACATATAAATTATACTGGTTTTACAAGTATTTTCTATTTTCCAGATTGTGGTAGCTCGATTTGAAACCAATATGACATGGGCTTCAGTGGAAATCTTAGGAATGGAGAAAGGGAATGGAACCACACTCACCCGCAAGCATAATCAGTCAGAGATTAACACAGACCCTGTGAGTGCATTTCTGAATGAATTTGTATTTGAAAATTTGGAATTAAGATAGTCTTTGATTTATCTGTTGATAAGTTCATCTGGTATGATACATTTTAGTCTTGCTTTTTGTTGAATGTGCTTTTGACTTCTGTGGTATTCTAAGACTAGCCATTCATGTTTTGTTTTGTATGAAGTCAGAATGAAAGAAAAATGGCAGACTTGTGTCTTTTGGAATGCAAAGTGACTGTTTTCATATCAGTTTGCTTGTTTAACTCGGGAGGGGGGGGGATTGTGATTGTACTTGTATCCTATTGCTCACTGTTTGTCGATAAATTTCAAGAAGAAGAAAAAACTGACAGTCTGTGTTGTTTGATTTTTGACAACTGGCTGATGAGTCTGTTTACTTTATTTTTCTTTCCAGTTATATATCAAGCCTTATCACTATGCAGTGTTCAATGTAAGCATTGTTGCACCTGGAGAAGAAGGGGCATATGTAGCAGATATTTGGATGTTCACGCAGTTTCAGGATCTTTTTATACCCATCACTTTCCGGGCCGCCGAAGGCAGCCTCCATGCCATTCCAGACAAGTTTATCTTTGAAAAAGTTTATCCGGTAAGTTATCAACCATTTTTTTATTGGAGGGGGAAGGGGGGTGTTGGGTTGGAAGATGCCAGTTGTAGGTTCTTCTTTTTGTCCTTTCTATCTTGCCTTTTTCCATGCAATAAATGGCTGTTTTTGTGTCAGTGTGCTACTGTTTACTCAAGACTTGAACAAAATCTTTTACCTTAGTTCTGGTGATTTCTGACATTAAATAAATTAAATGTTTTATGTGAGATTTACAGTGTAACTGAAGATATGAATAGGATGAAAGCTTAATCAGGATTGTGTAAAATGTGTGCTGAAAACTGAAAATGTCTTATATTATGTATGAAAATATATATATTTAATTTTTTAAATTTCATTAATTGTCTTATCTCGCTGTTGATTGCCTTTGGTGAATATAATTTCTCTGTGCTTCTTTACCTTGCTCTCCTCAGGGTCGGGTACCGTTCAAGGTACTCCAGATTCACAGCACTTTTGATGATTACATGGAGGTGACCCAGGTCACCTTTCAGCCAGCAGATACTCGCTTTTATTTTGTACCTCAGAATAGCAACACTGTGCTATTGCAGCCTCATGAACATAGCATTGTAAGTTGCCCTTTGGCTTAAATTTTTGTCCGTCTTACATTTTGTAAAGAATATTTTTTTCCTTTCTTTTTTGGTTGGTTAACATGTGTTTTTAAGTTTGTGGGATTCCAGAGCATTGATTTTATGTTTATGTTGATTTTTTAGAGGTTTTATGGTTTTTGGCGTCAGTGGCCTAGTGGTTAGGCTCTCGGACTCGCAACCGTAAGGTCGTGGGTTCGAATCCCGTCAGGGACCCGACGTTGTGTCCTTGGGAAAGGCACTTTACACGAATTTTCCTCACTTCACCCAGGTGGAAATGGGTACCCGGCTATAGACAGCGAAAGATGTTGTCAGTTTGTCAGTGTTTGAGCGCTTAATCAGCTGCTTCCACTGTATGCTTCCCGGAAAGCTGAGAATGTTTCAGAGTGTTCTATGGTCTGCTGGGGTAATAATATAGTGTAAAGCGCATAGAGCCTGCTGTTGAGTGGGGATATGCGCTATACAAATGCTATTTATTATTATTATTATTTATAATATAAGAATACGTTGCAATCAATTACACAGGGAGCAATTTAAAGTCTAGCCTATTACATAAAAGTATTTTGGATTGGAAAGTGTCTTACAAATGCTAATTGCTTGTAGTGCCTACAGTATAAATGAGGGAGTTTCCGCAGATAAAAAAGTAATTTAAACGTACCACAGGATAATGTGCTCTTATAATATGTGGTAGATGCTTTTAATGAAAGGGGGTGGGGGGGGGGGGGGGGGGGGGGTGATGGGGTATTTTGGCCAGAGGCTACCTCATCTATGTTCATGCAACTGTGGTTGAAAGCTCATATTTAAATTGTTCATACGCATCTTAATATTGCTTAAAAATAGTTTGTTTTTATTATGATGGGAAATTGCCCTACAGTACAAGAATGACATTCTTTACTTTTTTTGTTTTCAATCTCTCAAATGCCTCTTGTAAGTTTCTACGGTAAATGATTATGACTTTGTCTTCATATTGTGCTTGTTTTTTATCCTCTGTCAAACAGGTCGGCAAAATTTATTTCAATGCGAAATCAGATTGCAAAGACGATTGCTATGTTGGATTACCGACTTTGTCCCCTGGTATGTTAAAATAAAACTGCTTTTATTTTAAGGACAAGATTTTTTTTTTCTGTTCCTTTGTTAAGACTTCATGGCCTGATGTCTGACTGTTGTAGTTTCATTCATATATGGTTTTTGAACAGCTTGCCTAATGAACAAATTTTTTAATTTTTTTTGTCCTCGACTTTTGCTGAAGAAATTTAAGATAACTTTAATTTCTTAGTTTAGAAATGCTCAGAATTTTTATTCTTAAAGCTAATTATTGGCATTTGCTCAGTGCCTCATGTTTATCTGTGTATATTGTCTTGTGAGATTCGCCTGTCATATGGAAGTAAATTAATGTTACTAAACAATTAGTAGAATCTAATTTCTGTTCTTTAGTACTTTAGTAGACCTGTCAAGTTCTTTTTACTTTGTATGTCACAGGCAGTAAATCTCTATATTTGCTTAAATCAATTTTACAGTGAAATCTCAAAATGACTATTTTTATTTGTTTTTTATGTTGCATTGATTAAAAACCTGTTAAAAGTTTTTAATGCAAACATATCATGGTGTTAGTGGTTGGCAGGCACTCTGGTCTGATTTGTTCCTTCTTAGCAAACATCTAGTGTCCTTATCTGTCCTCCCACTTTTCTTTACATTTTTTTGGTCTAATAATTTCTCTAATCTTCAGTACTTATATGACCTATTTGTGTTGCAAGTGCTGTAAAACTCTTGCTTAAACTAAAGCAAAACATGTGATGGCTTATTTTTACTCTTGTTGTCTCCTCCATAGCTGGTCACCAGTGGCTGTTGGGCATGTCTTTAGACAAAGATGTGGCCGACACGGACCAGTACCTCTATACCAAACTACAACAGAAGTGGGAACGACTGGAGAGCTTGCAGCAGAACATGTGAGTCCCAAATTAGAGACCCGTGCTATTGTTAAATTTCTTTGTGTTAAAAAAAATCTTTGTTCTTGAAGAAAGAGGTTACAATGTTGTTTTTTGTTGTTAGGCTGGAAGGAATTTAGTACATTTGCACTGCTTAATGTATTTTTTTCTGGAAGGTGCATTGCGTCAAATGTTTCAAACTGGAAATCGGGAATGTTGCGTATTTCAAAATGAAGAATACTTTTTTACTTTGACATGTTAAATGTCACAGTCCATGAATTTACATACCAAAGGTGTTTCAATAATCAGTTTTGAAAAGAAAAGAGTACAGCTATATTTCTGCGATTCTGTTACTTTTTGTAATCATAAGCTCACAGTTGTTAAAGATGTATAATTGAATTAAAGAATCATTTCTGTCGAAAATATAGTACTATGAACTGATAATAGAAAATATATACTTCGGACCAGGATATAATTGCAATCCATCTCTCACGGGTAACGGTAGAGTGAGATGATAATATTGATATTACTTTCCATTCAAATTCTTTATGGAAATTACTGTGAGGATGGAATACAACTTTTACTGTTTAGTAGATAAACTCCCTGATGCACTACATTTATTTTTTTTTGTCCCTCCTCAGAGCCAACGTTACCATTGAGTTGGATACCAACCAGGTGCGAGGTTTTTTATTCTCGGCACAGGCTCACCTCCAGTGGCCGTCGCTGATCAAAAAGTCACGCATCAAGTACCCTCTTACTCAGATTGGAAACTTGACTGTGAGTACACACAGATTTGGATGTGAATTAATTCTCACTATCATCAGACCAGTGTTTGTGGAGTAGTGGTTAGGAGAGAGTTGGGGGGGGGGGGGGGTCTCTCGTGGCCTAGAGGTTAAGGTGTTGGCCTCTCATTCTAAAGGTCCCGGGTTCGAATCCAGGTAGCGACCGAAAAATTTTCTTCTCTAAATTTGTCTCCTTTCACCTCATTTCCTGCTCTCTAGCCATGTTCTGTCGTCTGCTTTCGTCTCCTCTTTCTGCCCCCACCCCTCACCTCCTTTGCCCCTTCCTCTGGGCTGCTGATTCTCTCTGCAGCCTTTCTACTGCTTCTCCTTCGCTTCTTCTTACTGCTGTCTTTCAGCCACACCCCTGATCTTCTGGTAGGAAAGATCTACACCTAGCCTTCTCGGACAAGGGCGAAAAATCTCGGAGGGCCCGTGTGCAAGTTGTGCACGTTAAAGATCCCTTGGTGGTCTAAAATCGATAAGAGTAGGCTTCGGCCGCCACCCGGGCAAAATTCAAAATTTCCTACCAGCTGAAAACATTAGGTGTGTCCCGCGCGCTCATATGACCTTATGCAGTTGCGAGCGCCGTAAAACACTTTACAAAAAAAAAAAAACATAGAGTTGGGGGGGGGGGGGGTGTTCGTTTGTTTATTTTTTGTTGCACACAGAAGGCCATGTGGGGAGTACTTTTATGGAGTATCTCTGTTGTCATGGTGGGATGTTGTAACTAGGCCAGGGCAAGATCGACGGCAAAAAGACTCGAGGCCTCGATTCCAAAACTGAAAAAGAATCGAGAAATCGAGTCCGATATTCGAGTTTGGAAGCTGCTTCAAGTGGGCTGTTTAGAGGCCATGACTTGAACACTGCTAAAAATAGCTCTTAAGATCGAGACCTCGAGTCTTGAACACTGCTTAGAATAGCTCTTAAGATCGAGACCTCGAGTCTCGAGTTTGACAGACGTGGCTGGCTAAGCCTGCGCGCCTGCCAAGACAAGTTGGCTTTCACGCATTTGTGTGTGTGTATCGTGTGTGTGTGTGTTTGGGTGTGGGTGTGTGTGTAAGTGTGTGTGTGTGTGTGTGTGTGTTGCCTCCCTTCTATCACTCTTGCCAATGCGTGGGGCACAGGCTCCTTCTCTCTTGCACCCTTTGCTTCCGAATATGTCAAAGCATGCTTTGATGACAAATGTTTTGTTATTGTCGACGTTGTGTTGTTGTACGTCAAAACATTATTACAAATCGTACAAACAACAGTAATGTGTTTTCCTGCTTATAAAAAAAAGTCCCAAGCTAAAGATCAACGTCCAGACATGATGACTCATTGATGTCAACTGAAAACACACAATATGATTTACAAAAGAATACGTGTACAGTGAAGATAAAAGTGCAGTGAAATTCAAATGCAAGCGTTCAATGTTCAAGACAAAAGAAAGAGAAAATGGAAGTGAATTATTTAATTTGGGATGGGCGGGGGTGGGGCAACAACATTCAAAGTAGCAGTAGCCTATGTGCAGCGTGGTTTCGTACTGGGCTACACGGTAGACACGACAAGTAGGCCTAGGCCTAGTTTAGCATTCACTCATAGCGGGGAAGAGGAAGAGATAGAGGAGGGTGGGGTGGGGGGTTGCGTGAGACAATTGATAGTGACTGACTGGCAGTTTCTTGCCCCTACCTCACTAGGCCTACGAAAGTTCGTCTCGGGACAGACCCGTCTGACGTTGAAAACCTTTGAACTAGAGTGTAATGTACCGCACCTATTATTGGGAAGTGACATTTTTGTTGCATTGAGTCCCGAGCAGTTGTGAATTGCTACAACATCGGTGGGACAGTATGACGTATACTGTTTCCTCTTTCTCTTTTTTCTAATACGAAGCAACAGAGCACAGGCACATGCAACCTCGATTCATCCACCTTGAAGTTGAAGACACAGTTTTGAATCTACATGTATCAAGGCCTAGTGCACACCAAATTCAAATAGTGGAAAAAAGACATAAGTAAACAAAACTCACAAAAATTAATTTAACTTGGTAATCGGGCGTTAAAATGGGTTCCCCGCGTAATTTTGGGTCGCTGATCACAAAAATCTTATTATTTCTTAAATTTGGCCAATATTTAAGAAGTTTTTGGAATGCATTTTTAACTCCGCATAGGCCAACATCAAAGAAGCCGCCTTATGCGCGGGATCAGTCCTGTCCAGGTGCGGTGTCTGTTTTGAAGCGAAAAACTTGACTGTGGGGTGGGACAGCCCTAGGCCTATCCCACGACACGACTGTAATAGTGCGGTAGAGATTTAGATTCTTGCCTCGATTCTCGGAGTCTAGGCTAGGAACCAGGCTAAAAAAAAGGAGACGGGAGGCATCGACCCTGGGTGGACTCGAAGCATAGAGTCTGGGAACAAGATCGATTCTTTGAGTCCTCATTTGGACTCAAAAGAATCGATCCCAGAGTCGATCTTGCCCTGGCCTAGTTGTAACCCTCTAAGCCCAGGTTGACCCTCTCAAAATGGGTGGGAGCAGTCTGCCCCCTTAACCCCTTATCCCCAGCAACCGCTCCCAATGGCTGGTGGCCGGAACCGTTGTGCCTGTAAGCTGTTGGCTGCTCGGGTACATTCCTTTACGACAACTTCGATTGCAAATAAGTAGTTTCTGGGAATTGCTAAAAACAGGTCTCTTTTTCCGGGCGCTCTTTCATTTGATGAAAAATGATCAAAATAGGTTCCTTTGAAATTAAACTAATATTAAATATCTGGTTTGTTTCTTCTACGCAGGTATCAGACTTTATTGTGGAGAACCCGGGCGACGAGCCTGTGCTGGTGCAAGTTCTCCCTCTCTCCCTGTACCCAAACCCTCACACCATACTCGATCTCATGAGTCACAGGTAACTCAACTCCCACTTCTTTTCTTTCTCTCTCTCTGTTGTTTCTTTTTGTGGTTGAAAATAAACAACAGGTTGGAAAGTGCTATGAATAGGCTATCTACTTTTCTTTGTTTTTGATGGTTTTTCTTACTGTGATTAAAAATATACAGCATCTGTTGGAGAGTACTAGTGGATGGTTGGTGGTTGCTCTTGTGTGGTTTGCTCCTTCTTTCCTATCAAACATCTATCGTCCTAGTCTCGCCTCCTTTTTTGTGTTTGTTACTCTCTTGTAACACCTGTAATCTTCGGCACTTATAAGACCTTATTGTGTTGCAAGTGCTGTAAAACTCTTACTAAAACTAAGGAGAGTGCTACTAATAGCTCCCATATCTTGTCTTTCCGTGCCATGTTTCCTTTAGGCTTTCTTTCTTGCTTCTGCGCCTTTCCGAATGGCTGTTGTGTTGATGAGCTTCTCATCACTCCAACAATCAAAATGTACACCCTGAGTTATAGCTCAGAACTTCATTGCTCCAGTATTTCGGAGGTCTTGCATTGTTGGAATACACCTTTACTTGCATGAAGTGTGGGTTTTCCGATTTGTGCTTTTTAACAACTAAGGCGTTATTGTTCCCGCAAAAGTGCAATTGCACTCCAGTTTTTAAAAACTTTTAGATTTTAAAAATATTGTCTTTAACTCTGTATTCTTTTTGTGTAATACTTAATCTTTTTAGCCTGATGGTGAAAGATTATACTTTAATGTTCTTCACCTTTCAGACTCGCAGAAGATCTCACTGAATATGTCGATACCGAAGACAGCAGTGCATTTTTGCTGTATGACTTGGAGCTCATTGGGGTGAGTTTCTATCTACTCTACGCCTCTGCTTTCATGTACCTGTCTGGAGATATCTCTTTAGGGGCTGAAAGGATTAGGAGAGATCAATTGAAAGTTTTGGACATCACATTGACACTTCTCTTCATCACAGTTTATTATGAATTTAGTGGAATAGTTACTTTTTTTCTCCAATTTTATGAAATTACATTTGTTACATCCCTGATTACAATTTTTGAAAATTTATTTGCCTTTCAACAACCCCAACCAACCTCCACCTTTTTTTAAGAAGAAAAACAGTTGATACCACTTTGCCCTTTGCGTCTTGGGCTGTGGCCTAGGTTAATGAGAGAATTTTTTCTAAAAATCGGATTAAGTTTGAAACTTAAAATGCGGGAAGCCATCAGCCAGTAGAAACCCCCCACCCCATCCCCCCTCTGGTTTTCTTTCCTCACTTGACAACAATGAGCTTGTCGAGACCTTTCATCTCGCCTTTGTTTAGACTATAATTGTCCTACAACCCCTGCCCTTGACAATATAGTCCTATCCATGGGCACGTTATGAATTTTGTCTTGCATTACTTTTCTTCTTCCTCTCTCTCTGTCGTCATTTTAAAAAAACCAACCTAACCTCCCCCCTCAAAAAAATCTCTTTGAAAGTGGTTCTAAAAATCCAGGAGAAAAGTGGCAAAAAAGAAAAGCGAAATTTTGTTTCTCCTTGATGAGTAGGAATTCTTTTTCATGGTTGGTCTTGCTACGAATGGTATGGGAAAACACTTGCCGTGTAGCTGACCGACAGGAAGCAAAAATTTAGGCCAACGACAGGAATAATTACGTTCCTTGTTCTTAACCCTTTTTACTGTTCTTCGCTTATCCAATATTGTTTCAGTCTATAGTTTTATGCTGTAAAGGACTTTGCTTTTAGGCAACCTGATTGGGCTTGTCGGTTTTTTTATTTTTTAGATTTTGATTGTTTATTTGGGGGG